ACTCCCTCTATGACCACCGGAAAGCTGCGCGGCATGCACCCAATGATGGCGCGATGCGTCGACAAACTCTCTGACTACCTTGACTCTATCATCGCCTCAAAGTCGCAGGGCGCTCTGAACATCAAAGAGGTGATGGTCGGCTTTGCCGTGGACGTCATCGCTTCGACCTCCTTCGCCACCGACGTCAACATCACCGACCGCAGCTCATCAAACCCTTTCCTTTTCAACGCCATTCGCCTGTTTGACTTTAAAGTGTGGCGATTTGCCCTGCTCTTCCTCCTGCCTGATGTCGTCAATCGAGCCATTGGCAACTCCATCGGTCTCAGTGATAAGCGATTCAACTTTTTCCGCGACCTGGCGAGGGCCATTATCAAGCAGCGAAAGGAGGCCAAACTGGCTAACGGAGGGAAGAACAAGCAGCGTTCCGATATAGTTCAGCTGATGATTGACGCCTACGTTTACGAGGACAGTCTTCGGGATACCAGCTACGCAAAGTTGACTGCTTCAGCGGAGAATGGTAAGGGATAAAAAAGCGATAAAGTGTTAAGGGTTTTAACTTGAAAATACACTATTTAGATGATCACCATGAAGCTGAACCACAAAAAAGCACTAACAATTCAACTTCTTCCAAGAAAAGGTTGACCGAAAACGAGATCATTGCCCAATGTATTCTCGTCTTTGCGGCTGGCTTTGAAACGACGGCCACTGTAAGCTAACTAAAAACGTGCATTTGATTTTTTATCTAAAATTCTACTTCTACCAGACAACCAGCAACATTCTCTACTTTCTCTCGCTAAACCCAGAGATTCAGGACCGACTGGTGGAGGAGCTAAATTCTAGCTTAAAGGGAGTTGAAGAGGACAGTGCTGAGTACTACGAGGTGGTCATGAACCGATCACCCTACCTGGAGGCGGTCATCAAGGAGACCCTGAGAATTTCACCTCCGGTCGGTCGACTGCAGCGGCGAGTAGGCGTGGATGGCTACCAGCTGGGCGGCATCACCCTCGACAAGAACATTGAGGTAGACATTAGCGTGCTGGCGGTGCACCGCGACCCGCGCTACTACCCCGAACCAGACCGCTTCAACCCGGACCGATTTCTGCCAGAGAATAAGCACCTCCTCACGCCGTACACCTTCCTCGTTTTTGGAGATGGTAAGTCTTCACATGATTATCAGTAGTTTCAATTGTTATAAACTTGTTCTTTTATTTTAGGGCCAAGGAATTGGTAAAATTGAGAGTTATTTAAATTTCTACCTTGTTTAAAAAGTGTACTTTTTTACAGTATGGGCATGAGATTCGCCTACCAGGAGATCCGGCTCTGTCTGGCAAAGATTGTTCGCCGATTTGCCTTTGAGCGGACACCAGAGACAGTTGTGCCACTCAACTACGACAAGATTGGCTTTCTCACCTGCAAGAATATTCCGCTCAAAGTGAGCAGACGCTAACATGAAACCAAAAATTATTTTTTATTTTAAATTTAAAAACAAATTAAGGGAGACTGCGCGCACATGCAATTTTTTTTTGAATTTTGGATTTTTTTTGCATTTGATAATTTTATGTAGTACACTAACTGAAACACTGTCGCGTGTGATAAAAAAGAGTTGAGGTTTAGGCAAAAACATAAAATCTGTTGGTGCGACTGCACGAGAACAGGGAAATAAAGTTGTAAAGTTGATTTTCAAATAAAAGTTGAATAAAAGAAGGAAGTCAATTTGCTGTTGGTACGTGGTAATCGATAAGCATCAGCCATTGCAACATTGCATAGGCAATATTGCAGTGTCTATGTGTTTGCAGC